CATTTGGAAAATGGAGTTTTGTCAAATGGGGTGGGGGTTCCAACAGGGCCACACACTGGCCAGCCTACATTCCAAAAGTATATGGCCAGCTTTAAGGTGCCCATACACCTATCGATTTTAATTTGGAAATCGTCCACGAATGGTCTTTTGTACGATAATCAATCAATCAATTTTTTTTACTGTACTCCTGGCCGAATTTCCCCCAAGGGCGAGGTTGGAAAACCTTTTTCAAATCGTATGGAAATTGATGGATTAGTGGTATTTTCGTACGAAATAAAAAGCGCAACAAGAGCCTCCCCTACGCTTCCACCCTACACTTCAGCCTGGGAACGTGAACTGGACCTCACCTTTACAACAGACGAATGGGAGAAGTCGTTTGCCCTCACACATTCTCTGTCCATCGCAAGCAAAGCCCACGAGAAGAACCTTAAAATACTCACTAGATGGTACAGATGTCCCACGGTCCTCCGTCGATTTTATCCCGCAGTGTCTGACTCTTGTTGGAGGTGTGGAACCTCCCCAGGAAACATAACTCATATCTGGTGGAGCTGTCCCCAGCTTCAAGGATTCTGGCAGGGGGTACTGGGGATATACCTCAGAGTGACATGAACCGAGATCATGAATGACCCCAAAATTCTACTATTGTCCATGATCCCTGGTTCGCTCAAGAGGGCGAAGAAGGGCCTACTACGACACATTCTTACAGCAGCTAGGGCTGTTGTCCCGCGTCATTGGCGTTCACCTGTGGTGCCCACCCTTGCGGAATGGGTTGTGGAAATGGACCGCATTGCGGACCTAGAGGGCCTCCTAGCTGGAGAACGGGGTGAGGGAGATAAATATGTACATACGTGGTCCGCCTGGATTGTTTTCAGGACCTCTGACGGATTCCAGGCTACGCTCTCATCTTAACTTGCCTCCCAGAGGACACCGTTGGCCAACATGTCTGGGGGTAGGAGACTACCATCCCTTTCCATGAACCTTTATCTGCACTCCTCAGCCGGACCTCTCTCCTCTTCCTCTACGTACTCTTTCGCTTCTTCACCCCCTGCAAAACCTTCCCCCCTGGCCCCCTCTCCCTGCAATGAGCAAATGCAGCTGGTTACCATTCTCATGGGTGCCATAGCCCGAGACACACATTGCATTTACCTGTGAGGTTCCCCCCTTGCCCTGTCCTCGCGCCCCAAGATGGGTGATGTTGGGAGAGGACGGTGAAGGCGGCCCAGAACCTGTACCAACCTGTAAGATTTTTATAGAACATTGTGTCCTGTGCGCTATCAGTAATGTTGATACTTTGATACCACTTATACCCTGCTAACTGTCCTGCTGACGTTATCCTCGGGCCTACTGGCTTACAGGCTCTTACTTTTCCTTTATCGTCTGCATTATGTTTTATGGGGTTTTTTTTGTCAAGGGGAACTTGCATGTTTACCTCCTTGTAATGTATTTGAAAAATCAATAAACTCAGATTGAACTAAAAAGCGCAACAAGAAAACTGCACATGCACAAAAAAAAAATCTATTCTGTGAATCCATGAAATTCGGTGAGTTGGTATTGCTAACAAACGATTATTAAAATCCACATTGGTCTGTGCATGATGGTGTATTTGAGCTAGAATTGAAAGAGGGTTCTTGGCAGCAACGAAAATTTCAGATCGAAAATCTATAGGTGAGAAACCGCAAGTATTCGCGCTTATAGATACCACCCCTTCCTAGCACAATACGTGACAGCTGCATTGAGAAAACCAAAAGACCTGTAGTCTTACAATCAGATGAATTTAAACCAAAGTGCACCGCGCTATTTCCCCCTAATTTTGCAAAGAATTGTTATTTATGTACACATGATTATTGATTGTTTGCAATTTATTGGTAACATTATTTTTTAATCAGGAGAATAGTTCATCCACAGTAGGTTGTTTTATATGAAATTGATTATTTTTAGATTATCCTCCCAGTGTGTGGGGGATTCCTTGATGAACACTTCGGATTCTCCGGTATAATTGATAGATGGGGAGAAAGGGGAAAATTAGGAGGAGGTGCACTTTGGTTTACATTTGAAAATCTATAGGTGTATGGCTAGCTATAGAATAGCTAATTGATCTGCCCTCACCCCCCAGCTCTCTAGTCCCCTGCATGGTGTTGCAGAGTCATATCTTTAGCTGGGACTGTATTTTATTTAATGTAAAAAAAAATAGACTTTAATAAAGATTTTTTCAAAACAAAATGAAACATGTAGAACAGGTACAGCAACTAACTATTGCTAACTATTTGTGAATATTTACTATCTGTGAACTAGTGCAATGCAAATCTGGAGCTACATGTATTGATTCTCTCATATCCGTAAATACCAAAACGAGTAACATACGTCTAACAGGATTATTCACAAAAGGGTGAAGAGTTTGGTGAAGGCAGGATAAGTGAACAATCTAGGACAAAATATTGGAACAATTCTCCAATTCAGCTCACTTTCCAGTTCAGCTACCGTATATACTCGAGTATAAGCCGTCCCGAATATAAGCCGAGGGTGGGAAATGAGGCAGCTACTGGTAGATAGATACCAATAAAATTACATTAATATTTATTTAAAAGAAAAATAACCTAGCTCTGTAAGTGGAAAAGGGGGTACAGGGCTACATATCATGTACTACGGATCATTTAACCCATTCATGTTAGCAGAGGATCATTGTAAATGTATTGTCTGCACTGTATTAGCAGTATATACTCCATATAGAGTATATACTGCTAATACAGTGCAGACAATACATTTACAATGATCCTCTGCTAACATGAATGGGTTAAATGATCCATAGTACAGGGCTACATATCATGTACTACGGATCATTTAACCCATTCATGTTAGCAGAGGATCATTGTAAATGTATTGTCTGCACTGTATTAGCAGTATATACTCCATATAGAGTATATACTGCTAATACAGTGCAGACAATACATTTACAATGATCCTCTGCTAACATGAATGGGTTAAATGATCCATAGTACAGGGCTACATATCATGTACTACGGATCATTTAACCCATTCATGTTAGCAGAGGATCATTGTAAATGTATTGTCTGCACTGTATTAGCAGTATATACTCCATATAGAGTATATACTGCTAATACAGTGCAGACAATACATTTACAATGATCCTCTGCTAACATGAATGGGTTAAATGATCCATAGTACAGGGCTACATATCATGTACTACGGATCATTTAACCCATTCATGTTAGCAGAGGATCATTGTAAATGTATTGTCTGCACTGTATTAGCAGTATATACTCCATATAGAGTATATACTGCTAATACAGTGCAGACAATACATTTACAATTATACTAACATGAATGGATTAAATGATCTGTATGTAGCCCTGTACCCCCTTTTCCACTTACAGAGCTAGGTTATTTTTCTTTTAAATAAATATTAATGTAATTTTATTGGTATCTATCTACCAGTAGCTGCCTCATTTCCCACCCTCGGCTTATATTCGGGACGGCTTATACTCGAGTATATACGGTATGTTGTCCTGGATTGTTCAATTCTCCTGCCTTCTCCTGCCTTCTCCAAACGTTTCACACTTTTTTGAATAACCCTGTTATAGTATATTTGGAATTAAATTGTTCTCAAATGGCGCCATCAGGCAACAAACAAAGAAAATTACATTTATAAATACAAATTGCAGTGAATAAAATGATTTATTATTTTATCAACTTAAATCAGGTTAACAGATAGATGTGGTTTAATTCGTACATATATATTCTATGGCAACTAAGTTTGAACTGCACATAATATCTGTCTTACAATACATTACAGCTGGTTGTAATGGTGACCTGTAGTAGCTTTGTGACCTGGCCATAATGTGCTGTACCTCTTGGTGACATTGCATAGCGTGGTCACATGACAGGTTTCCTGCAGGAACAGCTTTGTACTCTCTTGATTATACAGGATTTAAATAACTTATTGTTATTGGAATACAATGTGAAGTTATTTATTATATGGTCTATTGTACTGATATATCACAGAACTATGAATAATGTAGCACAGGCATTGGCAACCTCTGGCACACATGCTTGGGTGGGCATACAATGCCATTTGTGCTGACACTTGCTGCCATTGGCTGTAATTGGCGGCTCACTAGGCTTTCAATTACAAAAAATGGACCACCCACCTCCCTGACATCGCTGAAAGCCCACCGGCTGGTGAGGACCACTGTGTGATGTGCAGATGAAGCCTGCCTATGCACCTTTAGTGGTACCCTGTGTTCCTAATGGTACAGTGTTTGGGGGCTAATCTGAGGTCTAAAGTTTATGCTCTGGGGCTGATGTGAGGTCTGAAGTTTATGCATTGGGGCAGATCTGAGGTCTGACGTTTATGCATTGGGGCAGATCAAAGGTCTGAAGTACATGCATTGGGGATGAACATGTTGTGTGTGCACCAGTTCATATCAGGTAATGTAAAGTAATATCAGCAAAATTCTGCATTATGGCCACTAGATCTGAGCTAAGGAGCTGGACTCCCCCTCACCTTATGCCTTTATAAAAGATTGTTACTTTGCTTGAATAAATTTTCATCTATTTTTAATCATGGAAAATGCCCCTCCTACTGCTAAAGCAGGAAATATCAGTGGTTGGTTAGAGAAAACTTAAGACCATAACAGAACATTAAGCTATTATCTCCAATCCTGGTTGCACCACCCTGTAGGAGCGGAACCAGACATCCTATGCGCACTATTATAATGTGATTGTGGCGATAGCGCTGGTGGGGGAATCATGGAGATTTTGGGTCTCAGCTTGTGGTTGAATTTGATGTAGACATTTTCCCAGTTCATGATCATCTTCTGGGTAACTCACTTCCTATGATTTTAATTAGTAAAATGTATTTCTTGTTGCCTTGCTGCATTACATAACTTTAAGCAATGTTTTAGGGCAATTTAAGAAAAAAATGCCGGATTGTTTAAAAGTGATGTTAAATGGCCCAGAAAAAGAGACAACAGCGCATGTCAGAAAACTTTCTGGAGTTCATGTACAAATCCATACATTCAAAGAGTATAATCACTTAACAGATGAGCAGTACAACACTACGGAATGGGGCAGAGTTTAATAAATAATTGGAGATAATATGACTGGTAATGTTTCTACAGAATGGGGATGTAGTTATTGATTTTTGTTCTGTGCCTCTGAGAAATGCATTCAGCAATCCAGACAACATTCCGACATTCTTGTTCCTTCAGCTTCACATAAGCATAGAAGACACCAAAGTGGTACTGATTGTTAAACGCCAGCACGTTCATTTTAACCTTCAAAATGAAAAAAAAAACCATTTATAAGAGCTGTAAATTCTGTAAAAGCACATTAAAATCTTAATTTAAAACACTCTAAAACAGTAAGTTGAAACAACAGTTCTGCCACATGAAAAAAACCTGTGTGGCAGGGCAGAAGACCTGATTTTTCTCAGCTGCAGTTAAGAAACACAAAATAGGTTGTGTCCAAGCATGTGACTGGACAGCGAAATAAGAAGCAGTGCACTAATAAGCTTGTCTCTCTATCTGCTTGCTCCATACTCCTATCAGCATGTTACATATGGGTACATGCACACAACAGCATAAGTAACTGGCTCCTTGTGCTGTTTCTCTCTCTTCCAGTCTGAGCTCTACAGTGACAACAAGCTCCTGGGGCCCCAAAAGCCAGCAAGCTCATGGAGGGCATTTTCTCTGGCAGTTTACCTCTGCTTTAAATATCTATGCACAGCCACTAGTGTGCGGTGAGGGAAAAGCTGATGCACTGATTAAACTTTACTTTTTTGAAATGTCACAAGTGAAAAGCCTCAGTGCTTCGTGATGCGGTTGTACTGCATTGCACCACGCTGCGCTGAAAAAAAGCACTGCATGCAGCACAGCGGTGTAAACAAGGCGCTTTGCCTTGACTTTGCTTTGGGAAAAGGCTTCCAGCAAAGCCTCAACGCATCTGGTATGAGCAAGCAGTGAGTTGCTGCTATCTTTTTCTTCTTAATGGCCCTTACACAGAAGTTGGTGCAGTCTGACCTAAACCCACTGAAGCTTGGGGGGGGGGGGGTTACCCAGCACAGAATCATATGACAAGAGTCTGAAAACATACCAAGAGTCAATTGAATATTGTACCTTGTTGAACATCACTTGCATAGATTCTCATATATTTATATGGCCGCCTGAGGGCCCTGTCACACCATGTCCGGACCAGATCTGCACACGTTTCTGCAAATGCGGTGCAGTGCGTTTGTGATATCTAAAACCTTGGGGGGGGGGTAATGTCATTATGCAAATGAATCTCTTCCTGCTCCATGTCATAGCTTCTGTTGCGTTCCGGTGCGGTGCGTTTGTGGTGTGTTTGCGATGTGTTCTGGTGCGTCCCAGTGCAGAAAAAATGTGACATGCACCATTTTTTTTTCTCTGCACTGGAACGGACTGGACTGGTGTGAACAGAGCCCAAAAATCACATACAAATGCATTGGGATGCATTTTTGGTGCGGAAGAAAAATGTAGCATACTGCATCTGATCCGGACATGGTGTGAATGGGCCCTGAATGCAACTGGATATGCACACTATACATTTACTCATTTGGCCAGGCATCTGCTAGCAAGGTAAGACATGTGGCAACAATAGAAGTCGAGAAACCTAAGGGAGAGAGGATCCTCTGGCCAATGCAAATTTGACTCAGGAAGAGATAAAGGTCTCACTAGGATAACCTGCCTTCTGATCATGTATGCAGAGAAGAGAAGAGCCATGATGCACCACATAGCTCTCCACCCAATGCGCACAATACACCTTTTGCTGTGCCACTGTAGATGCAGCAAAAGGGATAGCACTGACCAAGGAATGGGATGAGGGATGGGAAGGGATGAAGTGTTGCCTTGATGGGAACTCTTGGTGGGATGGTATCAATATCAGTATAGTCATGTACCCATCACCTAGATGAGATATGATATATTTCAAAGAACAGGTGCTCAGTACAGCTACACAGATTCAGTAATTTCCCTTTATTGGGGAATGTCTTACTTCATGCTCAAAAAACTTGTCTTCCAATGTCTTCTCTCCAGTTCCAGTTGCAACCCCTTCAAACAAAGCTCTGTACTCCTGCAAGAGAAAACCAGTGTTCTGTTATACATCAGATCATGTACTGCCAGTTGATGAGCATTCTGTTAACTGCTGGAAAAAGATATCTCACTAGCTATGTGATCTGACATATTCATCACAGTTGCTTAGCGGCACATTGGCCTAGAAGTACCGGGGTCCTTGGCTAAAATCCTAGCCAGTACGCCGTTTCACTGTGCTTGCATGAGTTTTCTCAGTGTACTTTGGTTTACTCCCACACTCCGAATATATGTTAGCAGGTTAATGGGCTTCTGTCTAAATTGGTCATATTATGTATGTGAGATAGGCAGGGCCGGATTTACTCTCCCTGCCGCCCCAAGGCCAGGTTCTGCGATGCGCCACCCCCCCGCCAACCCCAACCCCCTTCCCATCAATGGAGAATGGCAACCAGATAGCAGGGTTAGTGTCAATTTTTTTTTACTGTTTCTTTATTTTTTTATCACTTTTTATTTTTTTATTTATTTTTACTTTTTTTTATAATTTTTTATCTTATTATTGTTTATTTTTTATAATTATTTTCTTATTTTTTTAATAATTTGTTTATTTTTTTACTTTTTAATTACCTTTTAATTTTTTTATTTAACTATTTCATATTATTTTGTATTTTTTTAAATCAATTTAATTTTTTTTCACCTAACTTTATTGCTATCACACAGGAGAAAACAATCCCCTGTGTGATAGCAATTGGACGTGACAGGTTCTCTTTATTGACCCTGTCACCTCCAATACATGAGTTCTAGCACAGTACTGTGCTGGAACTACTGTGACAGGTGAGAGATGAAGAGCACAGCTCTCCCCTCTCACTGTCTACAGTCTACATGGAGCGGCAGGGTTACTTACTGCAGTGAGAGACTCGGGACTCGGCGGCGGAGGACGGAGAGAGGTAAGTGCAGGGGGGAGGGGAGAAGGCTGTACACTGTTCATGTGATTTCACATGTAAACGAAAAATCGGCTGCCTCACTCTACATTTAGTCCTGCTTGTACAAAGCAGGACTGAATGTAGAGAGGGCAACTTCCCCACAAGGACACCGCTGCTGCCCCTCTGCGCCCTGCCGGCCCTGTGGGGAATCCGGGCCTGGAGATAGGGACTTTAGATGGTAAGCTCCTTGAGGGCATGGACAGATATGAATGAAAAGGTATGTGTTGTATTATTCTATCTGTATGTATTGAGGGCTCTATATAAATGCCTAAAATAAATTATATTCAAACCATGATATGGTGACCCAAACATGGCCCAAGAAATGCAAGCCTGTATTGTGACAATCAGACTGTACAGAGTATAAATGAGTTGTGGCAAGTGTCAGAAGTCCTCAATGTAACATCCAGATATATTTTAACAGATTAGAAATGATACAACTGATCACTGATGTTTGTTTTCCACAGAAAAGGGAATATTCCCGAGGTAAGACAGTAAGAAAGACAACACTGGATGTCTACAGGTCCCAATTTCAGTAAACAGGCACATTTCTAGTAGACTGTAAGTAAGAAGTCTGCTTGCCGATTGCCCCTATAATCAGGCCACACATACTACATGAATGTTTATTAAGGAAGATCAGACATTTCTTTAGATTTTTATATACTTTTATGTTTTTGTTTAAGAGCCTCTTAGCACTGGTCGCTAAAACTATTGCTATGAAAATTGTGGATGAGGTGTAAGTATTAGCACTACCTCAATAAGTGATCTGCATAATGTGCCACCTTTAGGCCTCATTTATTTGGGCCAGTGTATAGACATGCTGCGCCACATTTTATACAGCATGCAGTGTGGTCTGTTTTTTTGTTTTTTTTATTTGGATTGCTACACTTTGCCACAATCACATGCCAAGCAGCTGGCACACAGTTGCGCCACAGTCCCATTGACTGCAATGGTCCCATTTGGCAAGTGGCAACGTGGTTATGGTGCAGTATTGCAATGCAAAGTCCCCATGCTATTTAGAAAAAAAACAGGAGGCAGCAATATTTCTTCCTGAATGCCTGCAAACCGCTCAATCACGCTCTGTAAAGTGATCCACTGTTAATCTCTTTTCAGAGGATGGTATAAATCCCCTGCAGGTGTAAACAAGGCCTTAGAGTGCTTTTTGCGTTGTTAACTGCTATTTCTCACATTACGATCTTAGTGTACTATTCATTTAGAGGGTAAGACCACTTAAAACTGCTATCTATGAATTTCTGATTGATGCTGGAGAGTTAAACCACCTGACAGTTTCTAAAATCTCTCAGCGTCTCTATTAGATCTCTCTCTGCTGAATTGAATTCCTGAATATGCTCCGATATGCCCAATATAATGGGTTCTTATTCTATATATATTTAAAAAATATATATTTTATTGTAAATTTATACAATACAATTGTATTAGGTACCCTAAAGCTCGAGATGCTTGGCCAACCTATTCCTCCACTAAAAACAACTGAACATTCTTCACATGTTCACAGCTCAACTTTGACCCTATTGGGTATTGATGCCAACCAATAGGTATATAGGTGGCATTTATAGGTGGTTTAGAATTTATATTTATTGCTTTAACAATATATGATATAGAAAGTGCTTTAATGAAGGCGTGTGGACTTACAGCATAATATTCAGCTATGCTTTTCACTTGCTCATAGTCTTCAGCGTCGGCGAGCAGTTGCAGCCCCTCTGGGTACAGCTTTCCACATGTTGGGTACAAGGTCTGTCTGTCTTCCTTGTTAAGCTCAGTGCCAAAAGAGTTTATAGTGATTATAAATGCCCGTCTGTCTGCTTCAAACTAGAAGAGGAAACAAGTAAAATATATGTTTTATAACAGAAAAGATCTAGCATGGCCAAAGTACATCTGTCAGAACCCATATGGTACAAGCACATACCTCCCAACTGTCCCATATTAGAAACCAAATCCCTCTGTCACTCTTTCCTCCTCAGCTGTCCCTTTTTTTGGTCTAATGTACAGATATCTATAAAAATGTACTATTGAATTACCAAAATTGTTATTCTGCCATATACATTCTTAATGATCCACATAACTGGGGGCATGGCAGGGGTGTGTTCATCGCCTAAATACATTGTGCTAGAAGGTGCCCCTCTTTCTCATCTCAAAAAGTTGGGAGGTATGCTTGATAATTAAGTTATAGTGCCGGCCTGCACGGGGCAGCCCCACGCTGGGGCGGAAGTATATCTGCCGCACTTGGGTGACCTGTGCAGGCAGGCATAACTTAATTATCGGGAGCCACAGCTCCCAATTTTACTTCGGGGCCGAAAGTGGTGAAGTAGTCCCCTCTCTCCCTGGGCCCTATCAGTTCAGCAGGGGGCCCAAGGTGAGACAGGACTAATTTATAATTCATGGGAGTCTGCTGCCCACTGCTGCAAAAATTAAAGAGTCCCCTCTATTTCCCTGGGCCCCCGTGCTGAACTGTTGGGACCTTGGCCTGGTACAGAAGGGCCAGCTCTACCGCCCTAACCCTACCCTCAATAGGCCAAACTTCTCAAGAGCAAATAACTCCACTTTTTTATAGTCTAACTGGGTTCCCAGTGCTTCTGGGACGCTGCAAATAGCCATTATAACCATTATTTTGAAGTTAACTTACATAATATTAGGGTACTCGCACTTGAATTCAACTACAGGATTTTGCATGTGGGAATGTGCACTGCTGGATCAAACTGCATTTCATGCATGTGTACCCAAAACATACAGAAAATCTCATGTTATCAGAGATTGTCTCCGCTCCCTACTACAGGCCCTAAATGTTGTGAAGCAGTACATTATTCTTCCAGTGCACCTGCTTCCTGTTTGGTTGGTTTTTTTTCTTGACATCGGGGCCGCCGGCTGCCATCAGTCAGAAAAAAAAAAACGGCATAGAAATGAATAGCTAGATTGCTCTTGGCTATTTCAATTTGCAATAGCCAATAGCAGACTTGCTATTGCAACCGCCCACTGCTGCTGTCAATCAGCAGAGGTGGACCTGAAGTTCTCCATCAGGTCCTCCTCTTCTGATTGACAGCAGCAGAGGGTGGGTGCAATAGCCAGCTTGCTATTGGCTATTGCATATTAAAATAGCCAATAGCAATCTAGCTTATTATTCCTATGCCGTTTTTTTTTTTTTATTCTGACGGTAGCAGCTGTCAGAATACTAAAAAAAACCACGCAGATAGGCAGATAGCAAGGGAAGCATTAGCTTCTTTGCTATCTGCCATAATTTCAGGGGGGTGCTCGCTTCCTTGTTGTTGCCCCCCCCCCCCCGCACGAATGGGGGTGGGGGGGACAGAGGGCACCTCCCTGAAATGGTTTATTTCAGGTTGGGATCCCTGACATTATCCTGTCTCAATTTTCCTTTTTTATAGATACAGCAGTCTATCATTTTTGGTTTAAAGAAGAACTCCAGAAAATCTAAAAATTAACGCTTGTAATGGGGCTAACCCTTCACTGCAAGAGTTAAGTGCTTATTTTGGTCCTGGGGCTGGAATAAAGAAGATATACTCACCCAATCCACGGCCCTGCTGCTGTCCCTCAGCATTCTCAGGTCTAATGTTGCTGCATTAGACGTGATGATGCCACAGGTCCTTAGACCCCAAAGCGCAAATGAGAAGAGGCTGCGGGAACCGGTCTAGCAGCCAAGTGGGGCCGAGGATTGGGTGAGTATATTTTCTTGATTTTAGCCCCTAGACCAAAATGAGCAGTTAACCCTTGCAGTGAGGGGGTAGATTATAGATTTCCTGAAGTTCTTCTGGAAATTAAGCCAGGCACTGAATAAGGATTCATTAGCCACTGATACAATAGAAAGCACATAGCACATAACTTCTCATGGTGTTTAGTGTATATTGGCGACATCTAGTGGTAAGAAGCGTCAATTACATGCATTTAGGATTATACTTTAGTCATTTGATTTCATGAACTTTAAAGTGACACTAAACTCAGGAGTTAAATCTTAAAAATGGATTTAACTACCTTAATTATTAACAGAAATTTAGCTTATTTGTGCTGTAGATCCTCAAATCTTCTCTGAATTGGTGCTGACACTGTCCTTACTTCTGGAGGGTGGCTACTTTTGTTCCCTATGGTCCTGTGTGTGTTGTAAAGCTCCCTCCTGTGGTCGACTACAATCTCAATACAAATCAGTAAACTAACCCAGGAGCAAAAATTAAAATGATTAAAATGCCTGTATAACCTTATTCTTTACACACACACACACATACACACACAACATACTGTAGATGATGATCTTCTAATATAAATATTTCCTTACCATTTCCAGTGACCCAGCAAAACCCCAATGTATGTAATGTTCCAAGAAGAATACTTAGGGGTTGTCAGTCCGTCTCTATTATAAACCTCTCCCAAAGTCATACCAGGCCCTTTAGGTCTGGTAGGAATTTTAAGGAGGAACCCCAGCCCCAAAAATGGGGGAAAAAAATGTTGGGTCACCCCCCAAAAATCCCAACCAGACCCTTGATCCGAGCACAGGCCTTGCAGGGCAGGAAAGGGGGGGACGAGCGTGCGCCCCTCCCTACCTACCAGGCCACATGCCCTCAGCCCTGGGAGGGTGCTTTCCAGGGTCCCACACCAGACGTTTGAAAAAAATCTTTTAATTATAAAAGAAACACAACAAACATTTTTGACAACTCCTCTATTAATAAAAAAAAGCCCAAAACCTTATCCAACGGCGTAATCCAGGGGTCAATAACGACATGCAGCATTGTTCATGAGGACGACGACTCGTCAAAATAGAAAAAAACCAAAAACACCGCAAAATAGAAAAAATTGGGCGGAGCTAGCGGTGATCACACTTCTAGCTCCGGCCAACTGATTACATTTGTCCAGAACTTGTCAGAGTTTTCCTGCAGGTCCCGGATAAATCAAAACAAGTAGGCGGAGTTGGCCGGAGTCGGCCAAACAAGTGGTCTATATTTTTGCCACTGTATAGATCACTTGTTCGGCCTCATCTGGAGTATGTGGTCCAGTTTTGGTCACCAATACACAGGAAGGATGTCCTGGTGCTGGAGAGAGTCCAGAGAAGGGCAACAAAACTAATTAAGGGGCTGGAGGACAAAAGAGACAAGGTTACTAAATCTAAACATGTTCACGCTGGAAGTGAGGAGATTAAGTCAATAGGTTGGACTTGATGGACTTATGTCTTTATTCAACCTCAAATACTATGTAACTATGTAAGATGTTCAATGGTGATAGCAATAAACTTTTTACTATAAATTCCATAACAAGCACTAGAGGCCACCACCTAAAACTGGTGGAGAAAAGATTTAACCACAAGGGGCGTAGGGGCTTCTTCTCAGTTAGAGCGCTTAGGGTCTAGAACTCGCTGCCACAAGCAGTGGTATCAGCTGAGAGTGTTGAATTATTCAAAAAGCATTTGGACAACTTCCTCACAGGCTGCAACATACAGGGGTACAGTTACTCCTAAAAACAAGAACACACAGGGACTCGTACACACGCATACACATGCAGAATCACATACATACACGCAGTAGGTTGAACTTGATGGGCATGTGTCTTTATTAGGGATGCACAGATACTTTTCGAGTACCAGTGCAGATGCTTGACATTTTCATGAGTACTACCAGGGTTGCAGAGGTTGCAGCTGTGACCTGGCTCTGGCACTCCACCACTAAAATCATTAGTCTGTATTGTTTTAGAAAAACTGTCACATGACAATAAACAAAAATGTATCAGTACTCGTACTTGCAAAACTGGTATCTGTACATCCCTTTATTTATATTTATAAAAACAAAATCGTACATTAAAACAGAGATGTACAAATCCCAGGAGCTCTGTGTGCTCCTTACAAATGACAGCTGCCTCCTAACTTTATAATTTGTCTCTAGTGTAGTCTTGAAGCTCAAAAGTATCGGTACGTGTACTTGTACTTGTACCGAGTACTGTACTTGGTATCTGTGCAACTCTAGTCTTTATTCAACCTCGAATACTATGTAACTATGTCATGGTCGTCTTCACCCAGTTGTCATTTAATGCACTAGGCTGCCTTTGGTTGCTGTACGGGCTATTGTGAATAGCCTGTACAGCAGCCCTTCGGTTCAGCTCTGGCAGCCATAGTGAGCTGAAGGATCAGCCGAAAGCTACGGCTACATCCTTCGGCTCCTTTGTGAATAACCCTCTAAATATGGGGACCAGTGGTGATCTATAAGTCTCTTAAGTATTCTATATAGCTTTTTTGTGCTTGATCAGCTGAGAATTGTCATAATTGTTAATTTACTAATTAAAGTGGAACTGAAGCCATTTTTTAGTTTTGGATAGACTAAGTGGCTTGTAAAGCCTTTTAGCTTTTTTTTTAACATCTGTGTCCCATTGGGGAGTTCTCTCTTCACTTCCTGTCTGATAGCGATAACTGTAAGTGAGATGAAATCCCTGCAAAGTGATGGAAACCCTTGACCAGAACTGTCCCCATTGCAAGATTTCCCATCTATTCCTGTTCTGATTACAACCAAGAATGTAGGACTTTCTTTTACTTTCAGGAATAACGGTCACCAGGACATATAGAGAAGGTGAATCTCTCTAACAGGGACACATTCAGCAATAAAATCCTGACAGGGATAATTAATCTTCTCCACTCTATCCAACACACAAAAAAAAAAAAAATCTGCTTCAGTTGCACTTTAAGACACACTGATCTTCTAAAATATATATCATTTCATTCAGTCCACTGTAACATTTTCTGAGCCTCTCTCCAGTATTATGTTTCTTTTTATGAAGGTCATAATTACATCACATTGACAATTGATTTGGAAATGTCCTCCTAGTGTTATGTGTCCTGGGCTACCCTCCAGGTCATCTCTAACATAATCTAATTTTATGATACTGAGGCACCTCAAGAATTAGCCTCTTAGCTCAGAGCTCTATGTGGTGTCCATGTTACCCTTGGCACACATGAATCCTTTCATACGGACATCACTTCTAACATTCCTAACCAGGTTCCCTGTTGATCATTATGAATATTAAATCTGTGATACTCTGAAACATGATACACAATCAGAGCTCCCACAGTTCACTATTCTGCAGGCTTCAGAGAAAAGTGTATACATAATACTTGAGCAATGATCTTGTGACTCCTCTAAGCAGCCCCTGCACTCCCCTCTTCAGTTCTGCTGCAGGATTTACCAACAAGTGTCCAGATCTGGTAAGACAACCATTGTATGTGTATCATTGTGATGGTGTCCAATACCCGCTCTTATGATGCTGCTATAGGCACAGAGTTCAAACCTGATTCAGAGGTATTTTTATGCATGTGAAATGGATCTTGTCAGAAAATAAGACAGTTTTTCTTTTGTTTTGCTGTATACATGTACATTCATACCTCAAGAATAGGACACATAATTTCTTCGGTTGTCCCTCCGAGACCTTTACAGAACTTGTAAAATGCTTCCAGATAGGACTGGCGGAGAAAACATTCATTACATTAATACAAAATGTACAACTAAGCTTACTTTCTTTTTTTTGTGCACAAATTGCTATTATTTACTATTAAAAGATAGGTTTACTTTTGCCAGGGTTCCGTGGCTTTGTCAGGGGTGCCTC